TATTAGAGACAGGTTTCATCATGCTGGTCAGGCTGGTCTCCAACTCCTGACCCCAGGTGATCTGCCCTCCTAGGCCTCCCAAGGTGCTGGAATTATAGGCGTGAGCCCCGGCCCATGAACACTTTTCTACCTACTTTTTGGTGAAGGTAAGTACACATTTCTCTTGGGTGCACCCTAGGAATAGAATTAATTGGTTGTAATGTATGCATATGCTTGGTCTTGCCAATCAGTTTCCAAAGCAATTGTACCAATTTAACTACACTCATTCCAGCAGTTTAGGAGACTCCAGTTGTTGCATATCAGTACTTAGTGTCATCTGTCTTTTGCATCTTTGGCCATTTTAATTTAAAACTTTGAAAACACTATGTGCTGATCAGACAAAACAATTTGTGGGCCAGATTTAGTCCATAGGCCACCTCCAGATTAGACTGGTTTGTCTATGAGGATTAATGTCTGTCTTAATGTGTGTGTGAATAATTTAAAAATTGTCTACAGCTGGAAGAATTAAAAATTCATGTTGCTGTCCTACCAGTAGGGAGATTTTGAAGTAAACTGCATCGGGAATATCCATTTGCATTCATTGCTTTATTCAGTGGGGCAACTGGAAAGCACCATCGGCAGAAATGTGGGGAGGTTTTTGGAGAAAGCCAGGAACAGAAGACAGGATTGAGATGAGGAAGTTGGAACTTCTGCAAGTGAACTAAAAACCTGTCCCCTTACAGGGGGATAAGGAATAATTTAGTTTTATGTTTTCATATCCTTCTTTTTCCTTTGTTACTGTACCTTTTCTATGAAGTCTGATGCACATGCCTTGATGGGGCTGGTGGTGACGTGGAGAATGAAAACTAGAGCAGTAAAGGAAAACCATCCCCATTGATCCCATACTTGGTGTCCAGGTGGAGAGATCAGGCATCCATTTAAGAGAATCTCGCTAAGATGTTCAAATAGTGACCAGTGGGTCCAGACAGACTAAGGTGTGGGGGAGAGCAGCTGGCAAGTGGAGAAGGCCTCTTTCCTCCCCACTAATATACTAGAAGAAAGGTGATTTTTTTTTTTTTTTTTTTTTTTTGAGAAGGAGTCTCACTCTGTCACCTAGGCTGGAGTCCAGTGGTGCCATCTTGCCTCGCTGCAACCTCCACCTCCCCAGTTCAAGTGAGTCTCCTGCCTCAGCCTCCCAAGTAGCTGGGATTACAGTCGCCCGCCACCATACCTGCCTAATTTTTGTATTTTTAGTAGAGACAGGGTTTCGCCAGTTTGGCCAGGCTGGTGGCCTCAAACTCCTGACCTCAAGTGATCCACCTGCCTCAGCCTCCTAAAGTGCTGGGATTACAGGTGTGAGCCGCCACACCACGCCTGGCCAGAAGGTAACTATCTTAGAGGACAGGGGCTAACATCTGCTTTGTAGTTGGAACTCTTTCTATATTTAGCACATGTTCCTTCCTAAGCATATCCTGGCCTTAGCTTGTTACCTCTCTCCATCCCCAAGGCTGGTGACCAACCCAGAAAGGGTCAAACCTCAAGGTTCTGTGCTTCAGGTTTAAGGGTGTTAGACTGATTGGACCATGATTCTGACAATGAAGTCTTCTGATGACCATTTAAGATGTTTCCAGACCTCTGGGAAGCTCTAAGGCAGGCGTCCCCAAACTACGGCCCACGGGCCGCATGTGGCCCCCTGAGGCCATTTATTCGGCCTCCTGCCGCACTTCAGGAAGGGGCACCTCTTTCATTGGTGGTCAGTGAGAGGAGCACAGTATTTGGCGGCCCTCCAACGGTCTGAGGGACAGTGAACTGGCCCCCTGTGTTAAAAGTTTGGGGATGCCTGCTCTAAGGTCTGTGATCTGGTCAGAAGTAAAGCTGGGACCCAAGCCTGGGTGTTCTCAGGAGGCAGATCTCAACACCAACTGAGAAAGGAGGTCCCACAGACAGCTGTCTCACAAGGGCAGGAAAAGGAAAGGGTAAGAGAACTCCCGGTCCCTATGAGTGGCAGAAAGCAGTAGAATCGTCCTTGTCGGGTGGGGCAGAGGGAAGAGGAATCCGTTTTAGAAGGCATCTAGGGTCATTTCCAGCCAGGTATTCTGGATGTAGGGCTCTGGTTCTGAGACTGAGTTATACATCTGCTTTTGGAGAAGTGCTCACTGCCGGGATGCAACAGACCCTCATTGTCTACAGAATCTCCTCTAGCAGGGGCTGATGGAGGCAGGTAGTCTCAGGAACAGATGTGGAGTTGAACACCCCCAGTGAGCTGGCTATGAGTGGCCAGGCAGTACCTGGGCTGCCCAGAGAGTTTGCAGAGATGATGTAGTCTGGGTTGAGACTGTGTTTTCCATGAGAACTGCCTGTGTTTGTGTGTATGAGATCGAACTTCTGGTTCGACCATGTTTCCTTTGCTTCAAATCTTTTGGAGAGATTCCATGGCCTGGGATTTAAGTATATAGTTCAGGCTCCTTCCCTGGCATTTAAGGCCCCTGATGGTTTGACCCTGCTGACCCCCTTTTCTACCCATCACACTGCAGATCCGCCTCACCCAGAGCACTCTCAGCACTGAGTGCTGCTTTAGTTCTTGTTTCCTCTTTAAGTTAGGAACTCCCTCAAGACCATAGTTGGAAGAGCATTTGTCTTTTCAGCCAGCTATGACACTTCCATCCATACTTGAGTCAAGACTCCTTTCTCCGTACCCCTATAGCCTCAGGGGGCTACCAGTTCCCACGGCCCATGTTGTCATAATCTGTGCCCATGCCCGGGACACACACACACACACACACACACACACACACTCCTTGAATGTAGAGCCCAAGTCTAACTCATCTCCCAGTACCCAGCTCCCAGCCCTGTCTGCCCACAAAACCTATCAGGAAAGCATTTGTTAAAGGAAAAGAGAAGAGGTGTTTGTGTTATACAGTTGACCTGCTTAAAGTGATCCTGATCTCCTCTCTGGGAATTATTTTCCTGCCACGTAATGAGCCACACAGGATATAGTGCAGAAGCAGTGTGGTGTGGTGGACAAGGTCAAGTGATCTATATTTGAATCCAGATTCTGATGCAGCATGCATGACTTGGACAATCTACTTTCCTTCTCTATATCTGCTTCTTTGTAGGTAAAATAAGGATAGTAACACCAGGCCCATGGGGTTGTTGCAAAGACCTATGAGATAAAGCAGGAGAAGCATTGGGCAATGAGTGTCAATGCCTCCAGCTCTGTCTGATCTCAAATGCCCTGCCCAGCCAGCTCCCTGGCCCTTGTTTACCTCACATTCTGGGAAAGGACTCTGGATAGCTTGGGCTTTTCTTACGTACTGATTTCTAAAAGCCCTGAGACTGAACCCGAGAGTAAGAGGAAAGGTCATTCCCAGAACCAAACTAAGAGATGTCTCTGCAGGAGCATGCCTGATACCCTTTAATGATTAAAGACAGCATAATGGAGATGCTACTAAAGGGGAGGGATGGAGGGAGGGAGGGAGGGGAGGGGAGGGGAGAAGAAAAAATTAAGGTTGCCGCCAGGGAGGGGAGGGGAGAGAAAAGAAAAGAAAAAGTTAAAGCTGAGGTTCCAAATCAGGGACTGGGTTTGATGCACTGCTGGGTCCCCTGAACACAGTATAGGCCTTGTGACATCCAGGGTATGTGACCTCTGACTGCACAGATGCTGACAGATCTTGGTCCTCTCGAGGCTCCTTCTTGCATCCATGCTTGTCCTTAAGCTGGTGCCACGTACTGGACTATGCCCTGTGTTCGCTAGACTGTCCCATGAGGTTTTTTATCACTTGACCTAATCCACCACCTCTCACCATGCAACCTGCTGTAACTATGAGACTGGTTCCTGAACTTCTTGGTGCTCTCAAGCCTCTAAGGCCTTTGCTCATACCATTTCTTCCATCTGTTTTTTCCGTGTAGAAAGCTCGCCCTCCTTTCTCAGATTGGCAAACTCCTACTCATTTTTCAAGGTTCAGACTAAATTTCCACTTACTGTCCCAAAGCTTTTCCTAGTTCCTTGGCAGAGTTGTATGCCTCCTCTTCAGAGTTCCAACTGCACCACATTCCTCTGTAACCTCATTCAGTCATTGCTGTTTATATATATGTCTCCCCTCTAAGTTGGTGTCTCTGGAACTGTGGCTGAGGTGGATACCTGATATTTTTGCCAACTAGCTTTCATCTATTCATCCTACTTCTGGGAACAGTGCCCTAAATTTCCTTTAGGACACCACCCCACCCATGCTGTAAGCCCTATTATTTTAGACCATCCTTTTCTAGGCCACTGGGGTTGATGTGGGGATGGCCACAGGACCTAATTTAGACTGATGTCCACAAGGCCCAGGACTTTCAGTCACACTGTTATAGTAAGAGAAATTCTCTTGGTTGGACTTGAACTCAGAAGGGCATTAGCCTGGAGCTGCTGAACATCACTGCAGCTTCCAAATGAGCCAACCCTGCAAGTGTAAAGATGGAAACAAAGCAATGTCTTAAGTGACACTGTTTGAGGCCCTGGATCACACAGCTCTTGGACTTCTCAGTTATGTGGCTCAATGTTTTATCTTTGACTTAAATCAGTTTGAGCAGGGGGGTTCTCTCTTACAGCTTCAAGAGGCCTGATGCAGGAGGGTGGTGTTTCCTTCCCTGGCCACCTGGTGTTCTATGAGAACAACTCATTGATTCAACTCTAGAAGGATCGGAACCTACTGGAAAAGACCCCAACATCACAGTATTCTCAGAAAGCAGGCAGAACCTGGCTTGGATCATCCATCAGCTCAGACAACAGACTCCAAGGTAGTCTCTCCTCTTGAGCCTTCAGGAATGGTCAGCTTCAACCAGCTACCTTAAGTTTAGGGAAAACAAAATCCAGAAAGGTTGACTTGCCTCAAATGACTCAGCTAACATGCTGTCACAGTTCCACCTGATCTCAAAATCCACACTCTTTTTTTACTAGACCAGAGAAGGCACTAGTAGCTGCTGTGTCATGGAGAGGGAGACAGGGCCTCCTGGGGGAACAAAGCAAGCCACAGCCAGTTCTAGAGCCAACCAAATCTTTATTACTCTCTGCAGCAGAACTAATGGAGCCCCCATTTCCAGGGGAACTTCTGTGGGCTACTTTGGCTACCAGGCAGGGATGTTAGCATTTCCATTGGGGATTGGGACAGAAGATGGGAAGAGACTGGAAGGGGACCAAAGGGGGAAACTGCTGGACCACCTGAGGGCAGGCACACATGGGGGCTTCCTGGGCTGGTGTAAAGGTGGATCAGGCCTCAAAGGAGAACACTGCCATCTCCCTCAGAATGAAGGATGAGACAAAGCCTGAGATGGTGACAGTCACAGCTATGAAAAGAGGGCTGAGCTCCTGGTATGAGAGGCATTTCTGGATGTAGGCAGCTTTCTAGGGCTAGAAGTCTCAAATAGAACTCACCTGTTCCCCAACCAGGGGCCCCCAAGTTCAGCTCAATTGTTAGCATGGGTACCCAGGAAGCTGGTTGTGGGAAGGATGGGACTTAACTCAGGGGTGTTTTGGGTATGCGCATGTGTTATTAACAAAACAGGCAATATATTCATGATAGTTGCAATCATGAAACTTCCCTCCAGAGAAGGCTCACATCTCCCCTTTCACCCAGGAACCTCCTTAGCCTGAAGGCTCCACCCCAGCCCAAATGAACTCCCATTTAATTCCTTGGACATGTGATGACATTCATGGCTCTGCACACTTGCCAATAACCGTCTTTTCCAGCCTACCTGCCTTGCTCCCTGCCCCACCTGTTCTTGTCAAAGGACTGATAACTCTGCAGCTTTATCAAGTGCTTGTTTACTCCTGTTCTCCCTACCAGGCCTCAAGCTCCCTGAGGAGAGAGCAGAGAGCCCTGAGAGCCGGGTTCATGTCGTCTCTACAGCACCTGGGGAACTCCAAGCCAAATGAAGTTGTATTTGCTGTGCCCTGGTGTGTTTAGAGAAACTTTATCCATAAATGTCTTTAACAGATTTTGGGGGTGTCTGGCAGTAGATGTGGAGACTCCGAGCTATGTTTGTACCTGGGATGATAGCTTCTTCCCATGTGGGAAGTGAGGGTAGGGAGTCGGGGGAATGGTCCAAACCTGGAAGGAACTAATGGAGAGAATAGGGCCAAAGTGGGACAGGGCTTGGATGGTAGAGGGTGAGATCCAGGAGGAAGAGGGGTCTAGCAGTCTAAGCGCAGGGGCCAGTGCTCTGAGTCCCAGGTCTCAGAACCAGCAGGGCGACCACATGAGCGAACCAAGCGCTGCCCCAGTGGCGGCTCCCGCAAGCATGCCCATTGCCAGAGGGGCGCCGGCGCTGTAGCAGGGATCCTCCCGCACTATCACGTGCGTCACACCGGGGCCTGCAGAGGGAGACAGCACATGAGGGTCAGAGACTTAAGAGGTGGGAGTAGAGTGATCTTCGTTCCCCTTCCTGCAGCCCAACCCAGTGTAAGGCGCCGAGCCCATTCTCCTCTTCTCCAGTCGAAAAAACAGATCCTTGCTCATGTGATCTTCCTGTTCTGGGAAGAGCACCCGTGGCTCCTAGGCCTTGGATCTGCTACGGACGTCCCGTAACCTAGGAGTCCACTATGGCGGGCTAGGGCAGGACGGCAAGGAAACCCTGAGAACGCTGAGCACAACCACGTGGCATCTAACGCTTGGGCGTTGCCGACCACCAGGCTCTAGGAGGAGGGAGGAGGCGGCCATTCCTGCAATAGCCACCAGGGGCCGCTACCGGCTCAGGAATGGGTATTTCAGACCGCAGGGCTGAAAGGAGCCAGCCTGGAGGGATGAGGTCAGCTCTAGAGGAATGCTGGTCCCAGGGCTATCCCAGTCTCGGCATGGGGACGGGCTTGCGGAGGGTTCTGCCTGGGAAAATCCTGCACACTAAAAGGATGAAGCCTGGTTGGACCGTGGCTGAGACGGCGCTGGATGGAGGCAAGCCCTGGGGTATACTGGAGACTTACCTGCGTAAGGCGGCCCGTAGTAGCTGCGGACATACGTGGCCTCGTGTGCGTTGGGAGGCACCACCTCGTAGTAATCTTGGTATGGGCTGTAGACGCGCACCTGGAGAATCCAGCCAAGTCATATGCCCAGGAACTCCCTGGCCTGGGTTTGGTCCCCATCCCCATGCCTGGCTCAGGCCTCTCTCAGATCCATGGAGCTGCCTTCCCCAGTTTAGAAATGGGCCTCCTGCCACCAGGAATCTCTTGAAGAAAGGCCCGGCCTTCCCCACAAGGTCCACAATCCTTGTACTCTAAAACTTCCGCCCTGCATGCACCTCCCAGAGATGCCCATTCTCCTACCCTGGCCTTCCACCTAGCTCAAAAAATTCTCCATGGCTCCCAACTTCTCTTCATAGTCTAATATTTGCTAGCAGCTCTATAATGATCCCACTTTGAGAGACCCAGGTCTACTACTCACAAGGAGGGGAACATGGCCAAGCCCCAGGCCCGGGAAATAAACAGGGATTGGGGAGGAAGGAAGGGAAAGGAAGGATAGGGATGAGAAGTAACTAAAAAACAGTTATGCATCTCTTAAACAACAGGGATACAGTCTGAGAAATGCATCCTTAGGCAATTTTAGTCGTCATGTGAATATCAGAGTGTACTTACACAAACTTAGATGGCACACACCTAAGCTATGTGGTATAGCCTATTGCTCCTAGCCTACAAACCTGTACTACAGGCTACTGTCCTGAATACTGTAGGCAACTGTAACACAATGGTAAGCATTTGTGCATCTAACTAAACATATATAAACATAGAAATCATAATGCATTGCCTTACAACATTATGACAGCTACAACATCACTAGGTGATAGGAAAGTTTCAGCTCCATTAAAATCTTATGGAACTACCATTGTATATGTGGTCCATCAATGACCAAAAATTGTTAGGTTGCACTAGGCTGTAACGATTATCGAGCACCCACTATGTACCAGGTCCTGAAGGAAGTGATCACATGTGTTACTGCCTCTAATCCTTAAAGCAGGTATTAGCTCCACATAGCCATAGGGTTGGGGACTAAGGCTCAGACAATGGTCAGTCTTCTCTCTGGAATGTACTTCCTGCCCTCCCTTTCTCCCATTAGATTTCCACCAACCCTTCAAAGCCTAGCTCAGAGGTCACCCACTCCACTCCAGGAAGCTCCTAATCTCAGGAAGAATGATTTTTTTTCCTGAATTCTCTGGACTTTGCTTGTGCCTCTTGTTGCTATCCTTTCTCTTTGCCTTTCTTGCAGCCCAAATGCAAGCTACTTCTAGGTGAGGACTCTGATTCGTTCGTGTCACCAGCAGGGCCTAGTGCATATCAGGAGCCAAGAACTATGTGCTGAATTAAATGGAAGCTCCAAACCCCTCATTTTACCCATGAGGAAGCAGACCTGGAGAGGGCTTATGATCCCCTACTCTTCTGGATCTTTCCTCTTAGCCCTCTTCCATCCTATGTCTCTCTCTAACCAGGATTCACAACTGAACAGTCCAGCTCCCCTTAGAAGTCCAGGTGTCTCAAACTCCACTCATCTCAAGGTGATTGCAACATTTCTCCATATGTTAAACCTGCTGCTCTTCTTATAAATCCTTTTTTTTTTTTTTTGGAGACAGTTTCATTCTTGTTGCCCAGGCTGTTGTGCAGTGGCACAGTATCGGCTCACTGCAACCTCCGCCTCCCAGGTTCAAGCAATTTTCCTGCCTAAGCCTCACAAGTAGCTGGGAGTACAGGTTCCCACCACCAAACCTGGCTAATTTTTTTGCATTTTTAGTAGAAACAGGATTTCACCATGTTGACCAGCCTGACCTCAGGTGATCTGCCCACCTGAGCCTCCCAAAGTGCTCAGCCTCATAAATGCTTTTCTCAGTACACGCCATCACCATGCACTCATATCAAGAAAGGCCAGACACAGTGGCTCATGCCTGTCATTCCAGCACTTTGGGAGAATGAGGCAGAAGAATTGCTTGAATGCAGGAGTTTAAGACCAGTCAGGGCAACATAGCAAGAACCTGTATCTACAAAAAATTTAAAAATTAGCTGAGTGAGGCCAGGCACAGTGGCTCATGCCTGTACTCCTAGCACTTTAGGAGGCCAAAGTGGGCGGATCACCTAAGGTCAGGAGTTAGAGACCAGCCTGATCAACATGGAAAAACCCCCATCTCTACTAAAAACACAATATTAGCCAGGTGTGGTGGTGCATGCCTGTAATCCCAGCTACTCAGGAGGCTGAGGAGGGAGAATCGCTTGAAAACAGGAGGTGGAGGTTGCAGTGAGCTGAGATTGTGCCATTGTGCTCCAGCCTGGGCAACAAGAGCACAACTCCGTCTCAAAAAAAAAAAAAAATTAGCTGAGTGTGGTGGTGCATGCCCATGGACCCAGGTATTTGGGAAACTGAGGCCGGAGGATCGATTGAGCCCAGGAGGTAGAGGCTACAGTGAGCAGCATTTGCACCATGTATGCCAACCTGGGCAACAGAGGGAGATCCTGTCTCAAAAAAAAGAAAAAGAAAGAAGGAAAGAAAGCAGGTTGTTGCCCTTGTCTTTGCACATTCACTTTTGACACACCAGTCAGCAGGTCTTGTGATTTTACCTTCTAAATATGTTCTTCTGTCCATTCTTTTGCCCAATGCCAAGAGAATAGGTCACTGGTTTTAGCAACTTGGAAGCTGTGAGTGACCTTGAAAAAACTTTTCAGAGGAGTTGCTGAGTAGGAAAAACCAAGCTATGAAGGGTTGAAAAAAGGCTGAGAGATGAAGGATGCAATATGCGTGTCATGACATCTCTTTCAAGAAGTCTGGTGGTAAGGGGAAGGTCTCTAAGCACACCTTGTGATTTCAAGTATCATGCCATTTTCCTTGATAGGGATGTGCTTCTCACCTTTCTCATTCAAGTACCCAACCTGTGTTTCAGACTCAACTCAAGCATCACTCCTTGAACCTCAGGTTCTCCCATCTGGACACCCACAGCCCTTGGATATCTCTGCATCACAGCACCAATCATGCTGAAGCCATTGTGTACCTGTGAATGTACGTCTCTCCCATCAGACCAGGAGACACCTGTGAGGGCAGAGACTGGGTCTAATCAGATCTGACTGGAACACAGCAGGTACCTAATAAATGTTTATTGAATTTATTCCAATGAATCAAATGCAAGGCCAGACTGGAACTAAGGTTGCCCAACTCTGAGTTCAGTTTCAAGTCAGGGAAAACAAACAGTCTCAAGACACTGTAAGAGGCTCAGACAAGCAATGTTACACATCAGTGAACTCTATGGTGCTCCCTCCCTATCAGTGATCCAATAGGGATTTCTGGTAGGCAGTGCCAGAATCCAGGCTTCAAGTCCAAAAGGGGCTGGAGGGATCTAAGTTCTCAGATCCAATTTTATTGGTGGGGAAGTTGAGTTTCAGGGTCTCCACCTTGCCCTGCTGCTGCACAGTGAGACAGTGGCCTTGGGAGGCCCTGGAGAGGGTGGAGCATCCCATGTCCCTCTAGGGCACCTGTTTTTACTCTTCAGATATGGGAGGCCCAGAAGTAAACTCCTGTAAGTCACCTGGCAACAAGTGGAGATAGCCCAGGGACCCATAGGCAGAACCTGAGGGTTTGAGCCTACCTCTCCCTCTCCAGAGGCTCAGCTATTTTGTGGATAAGACCAGTGTTGACCAATCAGGGGGTCGCATACAAATGACTCCCCTTAGCTGAGGTGTTATTAGGTTTACAGTCTGTTAAATCCTATTTTTTTAGGCATGAAGAATACCTCAGAATGATGGGCTGGAAGTCCCAGACCCGCCACTGATGAATTGAGTGACCCTGATCAAGTTAGGTAACCTCTCCAAGACACAGGATCTAACAGTGTCACATCTATACAACTTGGTGGCCCAGGCACTTCTAGGCTTAGTGATTCTGCACATCAGAATCATCGGGAGACAATTTATTTATTTTGGAGATAGGAGATTTTTTTTTTTTTTTTTTTTTTTGAGATGGAGCCTTACTTTGTTACCTAGACTGGAGTGCAGTGGCGTGATCTTGGCTCACTGCAACCTCTGCCTCCCGAGTTCAGCCTCCTGAGTAGCTGGGATTACAGGCACCTGCCACCATGTCTTGCTAATTTTAGTACTTTTAGTAGAGATGGAGTTTCACCATATTGGCCAGGCTGGTCTTGAAGTCGACCTCAAGTGATCCACCCACCTCAGCCTTTCAAAGTGCTGGGATTACAGCCATCAGCCACTGCACCCAGCCAGGAGACTGGTTCAAACTACAGGTTTCCTAGGTCTAGGCCCCATGCTAGATCTCTGAAGTTAGGACATCCAGAGGTAGGATATGAATACTTGTTGTTACTGCCTGTAAGTTCCTAAGCAATCCTGATACACAGCCACACTGAGCCCCACTGTGTAAGAAGAGCTCCCAGTTAACTGTAAGATCACAGGTACTCTTCCACTTAAGCCCCTTCCTGCAACCTACCCCATGCCAGGCCCTGTGCTGAGCACAGGGACAGAGAAAAGATTCAGACCGAAATCCTGCCTTCAAGAAGCATTCAGGGTAAGTGGAGACAGACCTAGACTAAATTAGACTATGTAGTAGTATTGCTATAAAAGAAGTTGTCACTCCTTACTTCCTTCCTTTGCTCACTCAATGAACATTCCCTGAGCTCCACTGTGTAAGAAGGGTCAGCATAGACTCCCCATTACTGAGCACTAATTAAGCATGTGCCATATACCTAGCCTTGTGCCAAGCTCCGTAGAGGCAGTGCAATCAGGCATGGTCCTTGCCTTGGAGGAAGTTCTAGGCCTCATGGAAGACTACACAGACAAGAATAAACCAGCTCTGAAACCAGGCAAAATGAAGAAAGTACTAAGCCTTAGTGCCACTAGGCTGTGGGAGGGAGTGACGATGCTGGTGGTCTAGGAAGTCCCCACTGAGGAGGTGGGGCCTTACAGAATGGGCATCAGTTTGTCAGGTGAATGAGGAAACTGAGGTCTTGTTGGCAGAGGGAACGGCATGTGCAAAGGCTGGCAGAGGGAAAAGGTCTGGTGTGGCTGGGAGCAGAGGGTACAGCAGAGCAGTTGGTTGGTGTTCCGTGGGTGATAGGGAGCCATGGAATGTTTGCCACAGGGAAGGGATGTGACTAGGCCAGGTTTTGGAGGCTCATCCTGGTGGCCAGTATGGAGGCAGGGAGGGCCGAGCCAGCACTTACCCAGATCCGCCTCTCAACCTTACAGGGGCTCCACGAGCGGGTCACACATCTGACCTTGGAGCAAACCCGGCGGTTCCTGGGAGGGACGGTGGCTCCACCTGGGGCCTGCTCAAGCCACAGAAACCCAAGAAGGGGGAGGGAGAGGGTGTCAGAGGCCCTCTACACCTGAAGAGACTCAGAGCTCTTTCCAGACCCTACCAGAGCCCTTCGCCAGCTGGGCTGTGGCAGGGAGTGTCCTCTTTCTCCTCAGCTCTCATGGTAATGGGGGAGGCTCAGAGAAGGCTGATGACTGCCAAAGTTACACAGAAAAGGACAAGTAGTCTCTTTCCAGAATTAGCTCACCCTTCCCTATTTCATGCTGCTGGGGTTTCCAATCTCCAGGGAGGACAGGGTGACTTCCATCTGTCCTCTAGCCCACCTGGTCCACTTCACCCCAAGCCTCGTCCCTGGCTGTGGCCCCAGGCCCTGTGTTCCCAGTAAAGCTGGTGTTAGGGGCTTCTGGAGCCTCCATCCAGAGTGAGGTAGGAATTGCAGCATGTCAGAGGACAAAGGGCAGGTCATTCCCACACAGGCTACAGAGAGAAGCCCATATACACAGAGGTGAACACACAGGCACAAACACGTCCCCACTCTAGTAAGCCCAGGCCCAGAGGAATGTGTGTATGTGGAATATGGGACGTAGAACAGAGGTCAGGGCAGAGAGAAGGGTCAGGAGAGCCACAGGAGATGGGCAGGCAGAGAAAGACGAGGTCGCTTCATAGAGTCACAGAGTGCAGATGGTCGCCTGCGCCTCCTTCCCTCGGCCTCTCTTTGGTGGAACTGATTCACCCCATATAAAGAAGCTTTAGAGCTCAGAGCCAGGGTAGCCCAACTGGGGTCCCTCCACCCGGCAGACTACCGCTATAGCCTCCTTACTCCCAGCTTCCTCCAATTCACCTGCCACTTGGAAGCCTGAGTCTGTCCCCCAAAATCTGACCACAGCCCCCAATGCTGAAAGTCCTTTTTTGCTCCGTACAGGCCTCAGGAAAAGTCCATTTCCTCCAACTGGACTTTGAGGCCCATAGTGAGCTGGCCCCGATGACCTCAGAGGTCACTCTCCTGTTTTATTCACCCCATGAATTGCTCTCCAGCCAAGCAGACTCTGGGCCCTTAGACATATGCATATGTGCACAGATACTTGTGCACACACACACACACACACATTACTTCTCTGTCTCTGCTCATGCAGTTACTTCGGCAGATAATGCGCTCCTCTCAGAATCTCACTGGCCTAAGTTCCATGATAGGCTTTTCCACTGACTTAAGACTATAAGCTTTGGACAAGTCACCTGCCCTCTCTGAACCTCAGCTTCCTTATCTATAAAATGGGACTAAATACCAACCTCCACCCACCTGCCCTGCCAGGGTTGTTGGAAGATGAAATGTCACTGATGCCAGGGGCTTAGCATGATGCCTGGCCCTCAGCAGGTGGATGCCTGAAGGGGTTTCTAAATGCATCCAGGTCTCCCCTGCTGCTTCCCAGTGGACTTTCTCTGTAGGTGAGCGGGGCCTCCATTGTGCCACACAGAGAAAGAGCAAGCACAGATCTGGAGTCAGGCAGATTGGGGTGGAGGCCAAGATGGGCCTTGGGCAGCTCTTGAAACCCTCACCTCCATCAGTCACAAGCTTTGTTGACTCCATCCCCTAAACGTGTCCTGTACTCATCGGCCTGTCTCGGCAAGCAAGGCCTTAGTCCAGATCTCCAGTCTGTTGTCTGGACGGTGTCTCAGACTTCTAACTGGCCTCTAGGTGTCTGCAGTTGCCCTCTACAATCCTTTCCCTACCTACCAGCCAGACTATCTTTTTTTTTTCTTTTTTCTCTATCAAAATTTCATAAACTGACAGACTACTCTTTGTTGTTTACATGCCAAATGTTACAAGTGTCTTTTTATCTTTTTTTTTTTTTTTTTTTTTTTGAGATGAAATTTTGCTCTTGTTGCCCAGGCTGGAGTGCAATGGTACAGTCTCAGCTTCAACCTCCACCTCCTGGGTTCAAGCAATTCTCCTGCCTCAGCCTCCCGAGTAGCTGGGATTATAGGCATGCACCCATACCTGGCTAATTTTTGTATTTTTAGTAGAGACAGGGTTTCTCCACGTTGGTCTGGCTGGTCTTGAACTCCCAACCTCAGGTGATTAGACTGCCTCTGCCTCTCAAAGTTCTGGGATTTCAGGCATGAGTCACTGTGCCCGGCCAACAAGTATCTTTTTAAAAATATAAATTGAACCTGATCTGATCATGCCATCCCTCTGCTCAAAAACTTTTCATGGCTCCCTGGTGCTCTTAGCAGAAACCAACATCCTTCATACAGCCCACAAGGCCTGGTCCTGCCAATCCCTCCTTCCCCACTTACCCACTCACTCCTTAAGCACCAGCCACTCCAGCTGTCCTTCTGTTCCTCAGCTTGCCAACATCTTAATTTCTGTCAGAGCCTTTGCACATGCTGATCCCTCTGACTGGAATGCTGTTTAGCAAAGGGGATTCAGGGAATGCTGAATTCCCTTTACCTCAGCCCCACACATTTCACCCAGTCAATTTCTGTTTATCCTTCAGTTCTTGGTTTAAGCCTTGCTTGAACTACCACCTGGATGAAAGGGCCAGACACTACAAATCTCTGTCAGAGCCCTTATTACTATTAAAGTGGAATAATTAATCATTTCATGTCTGGCTCCTCACTAGGCTGAGTACAGGAGGGCAGAGCCTGCATCCCATTGGTTCACCCCTAATCGCTGGCACTTGGCAGAGCACCTGGCTCATAGTAGGAGCTCACTAAATCTTTGTTGTGCTGATGAATGAGTTTCAGTCTTACAGGGAGAGAACAATAACCCCAACCTCACAGGACCGTTGTGAGGAGCAGCTGGAATGGTACCTGCACCACGCCTGGCACATAATAGTTGCTCGATAAAAGACAGTTCCTTTTCCCCAGCTCACATGCCACTCCCTCCAACAAGTCTCCATGGAGGCTTCTCTCTCTCCTCTGAGCACCAGTTGGCTGTCCCCTATCCTTTCCCACTTGGGACTTAGGCATCAGAGTCTGCACAAACACATGAGACTGAGAACTTCCGGCAGGTGGAGACCGAGTCTGAGTCACTCATGATTCCATGGCACATGGAGGTGGTGGGGAGAGGGGGAGAGAATGGGGGACTCACCGGGGTGGAGTTTGCCTCCAGCAGCGCTGTCTTCCATGCTCTGCAAAGCAAATCCCACCAGAGCATGAGGAAGGAGTTCAGGGGTAGGGGAATTGGGCCCCCACATTTTAGATTTTCCTCTCCAACCCAGCCTCAAGCCCCAGTCTCTCATGAAAAGAGAGATCTCTTGCCTCCCTCAGGAAGACAAAGGTGACCCCTCCCCTGCTCCAGTCACATGGATGAAACACTAAGTAAGCCTAATTTCATTCTTCTTGTCTCTAGAAGTTCCAGTTTCCTCATCTACACAGTAGACAGTGGGGCTTGGGTGGTCTCTCAGAGGATGTCAGATTCTGACACTCCTGGGTGGGTGCTCTAGCCACAGCCCCCCTCCACACCCCAAATCTACAAACAAAACAGTTTCCCAAAGCTCTGACCCCAGAGCCCCAGGAAGGCCCAGCAGACACAGGACAATTGGGCCTTTGTTGGTTGCCATGGCACCTGCTGGGTTGGACAAGGCGGCTCTGTGCTGTCTGCCTGGAGCTCAGCTTCCCTACTCCCACACACCCATCTCTTTCACTCTCCTCCAGCGCAAAGGCCATGCACCCCTCAGCCAGAGGGTAGGAAGGGATGGTATGTGAGTTAGCAGGCGCCTGAGGAGGACACACCCAGGCTGGCCATGTGGATATGCATCTGACATTGGGGTACCCCTGCCTGGGACATAGCTGACTGCCTTTGTAGGCAGGTCTGGGGATACCCTTCAGATCAGAGTCCACCAGAAGGGCAGGGCGTCTTCTCAGAGGGGAGCAAGGGTGCCACTAGGCTGCCCTGCTGCTTTGCAACACTCAGGTGAGGGCTCACACAGAGGCTGCTAAAGACCAGGAACCAGACACCTGAGGCAGGTGTGCACACCTCCCCTCAGCAATCCCAAGTTCATCTGAGACTGCATGAGGAGTCCACTGTGTGCCATGCCAATCACCGTGAGCCCTCCATATTCACTCCACCCACCTCCAATGAGACACCCTTGCCGACTGGCTTTAGTGCCCTCTTCCTACTGTCAGAGAGTCGGAAGGCCCAATGAGAAGGGGGTGCCTGGTCACTTTCCCGAGATTCCACCCCATCCTCTCCTGGGAGTGACTCACAGGGCATCATCCTTGGTCTCTGCACATAGGTGCAGGCGGGAGCCTTCCCGTAGGTTCACGGTGAGCAGGCCATCCCGGCTCCGGCCCTCTGGGGGCTGCACATCTGGAAGCAGACACATATATATGGGTTTCCACAGGCACAAGCCCCAGGTCCCCCCAGTAAACCAGGAACAAGAATAGGAACTGACTTCTTTGGGCTGTTTACTGGCCACTGCCAACCTCCTCCGATCCCATATACTCTCTCAGGGATTCTACTCTACAGTTCCAAACCTTCCAACCTTTCCATGCTGACACTTCCCTCAGCATACATCCCTCAGTTACCCTGTTACAACTGTGGCCTGAGCCCTTGGGGGAGGAATGTGGAGATTTGCTGTGACTCTGGGCCACTTCGCTCCCTACTCTGAGCCTCCTAATTTCATTTCATCTTCATCCAGTAACTAGTGCCTGGAGGGCAGGAACTGTTCCTGACTCACGTCTGAGACACAGCACAGAGGAGAAAGGCACTAAAGGACTGATTTCTCTTTCTTTCTTTATCTTTCTTTCTTCTCTTTCTTTCTTCTTTTTCTTTCTTTTTTTCTTTCTCTTTCTCTCTTACTCTCTTCTCTCTCTCTTCTTTTTCTCTTTCTCTCTTTCTTTCTTTCTTGGTCTAGCTCTGTCCCCCAGGCTGTAGTACAGTACCATGAACACTCACTGCAGCCTCTGCCTCCCAGGCTCACGCAATCCTCCCACTTCAGCCTCTTGAGTAGAAACCACAGGCACACGCTACCATACCTGGCTCACTTTTCCTTGTTTTTGTTTTGGTAAAGATGGGGTTTTGCCATGTTGCCCAGTCTGGTCTTGAACTCCCAGACTCAAGTGATCCACATGCCTCAGCCTCTCAAAGTACTGGGATCATAGCTCACTTCAGCCTTGAACTCCTGGGCTCAAGCACTTCTCCTGCCTTGACCTCCCAAGTAGGCATATGTGACCACATCTAACCTTTTTTTTTCTTTTTCAGAGACAGGGTCTTGCTATGTTGCCCAGGCTGGTCTAGAACCCCTGACCTCAAGTGATCCTCCCACTTCAGCCTCCCAGAGTGCTGAAATTACAGGCATAAGCCACCACATATAGCCAAGGACCTATTTCTTAACTCACACCAAACTGAATTGGAGTTGACAGAGGCTTAGAAGCAACATCTGGGAAATGCCTCTGAAAGCTGCAAAGAGGCTTCCAACTGCAGGTATTCTCAGACACAGGGGGAGGGCTCTGCCCACAGTCACAGTGCCACAGAGGAAGGGGCTTCTGCTCACCGTGGCACTCTTGGCCGATCTTTATGTCACGGACATTGAAGTGGATGAGCACACGATCCTCCTCGTCCTGTGCTGTCTCATCATGGTAGTATCCCAGGGTTCCATCCATCCACAGGGCAAACCAGTTTCGCTTCCAGCGGCGGAGAATGGAGCCTGTACAATATTCCAGATGCACTAGGCAGGCTGATCCCAGAGCCTCCTGGTGATAGGAGCCCCAGACAGGCTCGCAAGTCCCCTCAGCCTCAGTTCCTAGTATTATAACCACCTTTTCCTTGTGTATCTGCTCCCTGAGGGCAGGACCTCTTTCTCTCTTACTTCCTACCTCCCATTGGGCCTGATGCATAGTAGAGGCTCAATAAATGTGTTGAATGGGGAAATGAGTAATGGGACCCATTGCTTGGGAGCTTCTAAGGCCAAGCCCCAGGTCTTTTCAAGGGCAAAGACCTCTCCCTACCTTGAGCCTCCATCTTCTCTCTCTCTCTCTCTTTGGAGACAGGGTCTTGCTCTGTCACCCAGGCTGGAGTGCAGTGGCGCAAGCATGGCTCACAGTGGCAAGGGATCCTCCCGCTTCAGCCTCCCAAATAGCTGGTTCATTAGGTATGCACCACTGTACCTGGCTGATTTTTAATTTTTGGTAGAGACAGTGGGTCTCACCATATTGTCCAGGCTGGTATCAAATTCCTGGGCTCAAGCGATTCTCCCAGCTCAGCCTCCCAAAGTGATGGGATTACAGGTGTGAGCCACTACGCAGGCCTCTTATCTCTCATCTCTGACTCATGTGATGGTTATTTGTGTAGCCTTTGCCTCCTGTTCCACACTGGGAGTTGCAGCTCCCCACACAGGTCCTGGAACCTGGGGAGACCTGTGCTCAGTGTTTGCTGAATGGAATGAACTGAGAATGGACAGGGGGATGGGGCATGGGGCTGCCTGTCCCAGGGGTCCCCAGGATAGCTCTTGCTCATGTCATGACTCTGGTCAGAGGTGGGTCTGGAAGCCTGAGACCTAGCTTCATACATTTTGCAACTGGAAATCTTAACAGTGAAGGGCAAAGAAATAAGAGAACTTCTGCGGGCTTTGTGGATTCCAAAGCACAGAGGCAGTTTTCACTTTGTTCTGTGCATTGTTCTATGTCCAGCCTGGGGTTGGGGGACTGTGGACACACAGAGGATCAAACCCAGCCCCTGCCCTTGAGGAGCTCACGGACTGGGGGCAGTCTGGGGTCAGGGAGTAGGGAGACCCACCAATAAAGACAGTTCTGCTACAAGGAGATCACTGTAAGGCACGGTGGGAATCGAGAAGGGAGCCTCTAATCCAGCTTGACACTACTGCAGGGGCAGGGGCGGGGGCTGGAGGAAAAGCCAAGGAGGCTCCTCCTGGGAGGGGCCCATCTGAGATGAGTGGTGAAGAACAAGTGGAAGTTTACCACGCAATCAGGAATGGGAAAGACTAGGCAGAGGAAAGAGTGTGGTCAGAGGAAAGGATGAAAACGTCCTGGCTTCTTGGGAGAAGGGTTCCCAGTGGCAAGCCCAGTAAGCCACTTCTCTCACCCTGCCCCAGGACCAGGCGCCCAGGATCACTCACTCTGTCTCCACAGCCAGCCGCCCCTCAGCAGGGCCATTTCTTCAAAAGGACTTTCCAGGGCGGAGTCAGGCGGGACCTGTCAGAGGAGCCACAGGAGACACAGGCCTCGGCAGCAATTCCCTGGAGAGAAGCCCCCAGCCCTGCCGTCCCCAGAGGAGCCACCCAGGAAACGTTTGAAGGAGGGTTAGTAAACAAACAAGGACCGGGCAGCCTCAGGCCTCCTCCCCATTCTCTGCTCAGGAAGAGAATGGGAGCACTGTCCCTGTGGGGTCAGCAGGGCAGCTAGCCGTTGGTGTGGCGTGGGGGTGGGGACCAGGAGCCTGGATTCCAGCCTCAGCTCCACATCCCTCCTCTCTGCCCCCTCTCTGTCCTGGCCTCAGTTTCTAGCTTAGTAGAAATGTGTCTGCGAGGCAGGCAGAAGCTGCAGGAGCTCTTGAAACATTAGAATATGCTTCTATTGTGGAGCATGAGACTCTGAAAGTATTAAAACCGTGGGATTCTGTAATGTGGAAGTGCAGAATATTAGAATCACAGCAATGGACAGGGGAAAGTCTCCCTCCCATTTGGACCCCACTAGAGCTGTTTACAAAGTGCTTAACAAAGCAGCTCAACAGCAGTTGTGATGGCCCGAGCGAGCACTCGGTCCGAATACCCCCCTCGGTGCTTTCATCCATTATCTCATTTAAGCCTCCCTGCAGTCCTTATTATTCCTATTTCAGAGATGAGGAAACGGGCCGGAGAGGTCTAATCATTTGCACGGGACCGCTTGATCAGTGAGCAATGGAGTCCAGCCTCACACCCAGCAGTCCTGGCTTCAATTGTTATGCCAGCAGGAGCTTTGAGAACTCCGGAAGCCAGGCCACACTCTATAATAATTAAATCAGAATGTTTGAGGGCAGGAGGCAAGCCCTGGTACTCTTCAAAGATCCTCAGATGATTGTAATGTACAGCCAAGTTTGGAAGTCACCGCATATACTACTTCCTCACCCTGTCCCCACACTAACCCTGTTAGGGAGGGAACCTTTACTCCTATTTTACAGATGGACAGACTGAGGGGCGGCAAATGACTCATCCATGTACGTGATGGAGCTTGCACTGGAATCCAGGTAGGTGCCCTCTGTTCCTGAGGGCGACTCACTTGCCAGTGGGTGCCTCCACCCCTCCCCCACCTGCTCACACCTGTTGCTGCGTAACAAGGGCTGGCACACCTGGGCTGGAAGGCCCGGTCTTGTCTGTTCCTCTTGACACTCCCTCCCCTCTCCACGGTCTTAACACAAGTCAGACAAGAGGCCGGTGCAGACTCCCTTTCCAGTCCCTCCCCTTGATGCACCCACCTGGTCTACACCTGTTGCGGGTGTTGCTGCCAAAGCGGCCGCTACTCGATGCTGCTGCCACCCAACCCGCTGCGCCTGCGCTTTGTGCGCCCCGGAGAGCCTGGGGCATTTCTCTCCTCCGCCAGTGCCTGGGAGCCCAGCTGCCCCCGGGTCCCCGCCCTCCGGACCTGCCCACCCCCAGGGAGGGGGCGTGGCGTGGAGAGATGCTGACCCGAGGCGTGCTGGGACTTGTAGTCTACACCTCTAAGCCGGACAGAAGCAGCCTTGCCTGCAATTTTACTTTTCTATTAAGACATTTGTTCACTAATTTATCATGAAATGCTTTTTCTTAAGAATCAGTGAACTCAGTTCCTAGAAAAAAAAAAGTAAAGTTGCAAGGAGAAGCCAGGCTGCTAGTTTTGCAATTTTTTTTTGATGCTTTCCCCTTCCATCCCCAGTTTCCAGTCTAGTGCGGAAGATTACATGGAAACACACTTGGAGCGCAGGGTGTGATTTAACAATGGAAAAGATGAGCCTGACTTTTCCCAAGGGGTTCAGGAAGGCTTCCCAGAGGAGGCTGAAAGGCACCTTGGAGGATGAGTGGCAGTTTCCAGGGCGACCCGAAGGGTCCCTATGAGCACTGTCAGGATGTTGAAGAGTACCCAGAATTTCTGTGTCGACAACATAGAGCGCGGGGGCGGGGGTGGGGAGGGCATGGGGAGTGGCAGGTGATAGAGCTGCAGGATTTGCAAAGAAACAGCACAGAGGCCTTGCACGACAGGCGGAGAGCTTGGATGTTATGACGCAGTGACTGGAGCTGGGGGTGGGAGTTTCAAGACGAGAAGTGAGGTGTGTGATTAGGGGATCGGAAAGGCCCCTCTAGGGCACAGTAAAGAACAGATTGGAGGGGGCCCACCTGGAGAAGGAAGACTTTTTGTATCTGTCACCTCGGATTGTAATCATTTCCTTCAATAGCTCAGCCCCGAAAACCCACACCTACCAACAGCCGCATGATGTCATTCAGAGACCAGAGGCTGTCAGGGCCTAAGACTTCTATCCCGTCCCCTATGTAGGGTGCCCACCCTGCCCTAGGTCCTTCCTCCTGTCCCAGAGAACTCTTCCTTACCGGGGCTGCAGGGCTCATGGTTCTCGGGCGGCCAGGGCAGCATTTCCCAGAAGGCTGCCGCAGGGGGGCATTTCCCTGAGCGCCTTAGAGATAAGGGGATCAGGAAGGTGCTACCAAGTGGGAGACTGAGGGGGAGGCAAGGAGGGAGCGCACAAGTAAGGTCGCCCTCTTTCTCCAGGCCCCTCCCAGCCTTTCCATGATGGCTCTAACCCTAGGTTCACTGGACAAGTTATCCCGGATTCCGAGGTGGTCTTAGTCCAGGTAGTCAAGGTTCCCGGGGTGGAAGCGGGGTGGGGGTGGGGGGCGGGGTCCGGGGGAGCACAGGAACGGGGTCGGTCCTCCTCCCTAGGTTGGGGGCGGGGCTACATCTTTATTCTCCGGCCTGTCTGGACAGCGCCCATCACCCCAGTCCTGGCTGCTCAGTCTGGCTCTTTAAGCCTCCCTCTCTTGCTCCTGCGACTCTGTAATCTTGACCTCGAGCTACCCGCGCGCTTCGGCCTTTTGTGCGGTGCGTGCCCTGCTGAGGGATTCGCCATGGCCAATCCTATTAGCCATTGAGTTCATCCCCTCTTAGCCGACCCAAGAACCAGCTCTCCCAAACCGTGTTGTTTTTCGTCTCTGTGCCTTGAACTCACTCTGTCTGGTTCCTGGAACGTTCCAGCTCCACCTTCTCCTAGCTAAATTGTCCACCTCCACAGTGGAAGGAAGAAAGGAAGGAGGCGGAGTGGGGAAAAGAGGGAAGGAAAGAGAGAGGCAGGAAAGAAAGGAGGGGAAGGGGAAGGCAGGCAGGCAGGGCTGCAGCTGGTCTCAGAGGATCTGCGCCTGGGTCCTGCCCCAACCCAGCCTCTCTTCAGCTCTCCCTGCTCACCTCCCCGATGGGCAGTGGGGCATGCTTCATGTCGGGGGCGCGGATGGTGCAATCCTCCTACATTTCATTCTCCGGATTTAGCAACCAGATGAAAAAGGAATGTTCTCCAGCAGCAGTGGAGACTTAGAGGGAAGACTCTTCCCCCACCCTCCCAAAGAGTGGGCACTATGGCAAGAAAAAGGGGAAAGGACGTGGGCAAACTAAAACCACAGACACTGCTGACGTAGCGGGACTTGGCCCACGTCTCTAAATGTTGGTCAGTGACCCTCTTTGAGAAGCAAAAAGGAACTGTAGACTCTCCTCAGGAAAAAAATCTGCACATAATTCCTGGGAGTTCATAGACCTCTGAAGCCATGATGGTCATTGTTGGATTGTTTTGAATTTCCAGAACCGTGTAGATGGGAGGAGAGTGTGCATTGACCACTGAGATGTATGACAGTATGTCAGGAATTCCAGCTGCAACAGCCCTGGCTGTGAAAGACTTTGTTTGTTTTAATCAACTAAAACTTACTGAGACTAATAAGCCAACAAGTAACTTTTACATTTCTTTGTGGCTATGTTGCACAGAACCATTGGCAGAGGGGAAAAGATTTTGTCATTTCAAGTGTCCCTGGTGAGTGAAGAGCCCACAGATAATACATTGTTTAGGAAATAATGGACTAGCTCATCAAATTCAAATTTACTACTTAGATTTTCTAGAGAGTATAATGAGAATAATTTATATTACCTTTATTTTTAAAAACGACATTTATATCAAGATGCAATTTGAGCAAAAGTCAAAGCACTTGTGAAAACATTTTAAAATGACAATTTTAGCGAGATATAATTCACCCACCATAAAATTCACCCTTTTAAAGTATAAAATTCAGTGTTTTAATGCATTCACAAAGTTGTGCAACCATCGCCACTACCTAATTTCACAACATTTTTATCACCCCAAAAAGAAACCCTAGGCTGGGCACGGTGCTCACACTTGTAATCCAGCACTTTGGGAGGCCAAGTTGGGTGGATCATCTGAGGTCAGGAGTTCAAGACCAGCCTGGCCAATATGGTGAACCCCTGTCTCTACTAAAAATGGAAAAAATAACTGGGCATGGTGGCATGCGCCTGTAATCCCAGCTACTCAGGAGGCTGAGGCAAGAGAGTTGCTTGAACCTGAAAGATGGCAGTTGCAGTGAGCCAAGGTCGTACCACTGCACTCCAGCCTGGGCGACAAGAGTGAAACTCAGTCTCAAAAATATGAAGAAGAAGAAGGAGGAGGAGGAGGAGGAAGAAGAATAAGAAGAAGGAGAAGGAGAAGGAGAGGAGTAGGAGAAGAAGAAGAAACCCTATAGTGTTTAGCAGTCGCTTGAGCTTGGGAGTGCACCACTGCACTCCAGCCCAGAAGTGTAATGGTTAGTGTTAACCTGGTTAGGTTATAGTCCCCAGTTACTCAATCTAACACACTAATCTAGGTGTTGCTATAAAAATATTGTGTAGATTTGGTTGACCTATACAGTCAATTGAAGTTAAGTAAAGAAAAATAACTTTTTTTTTTTTTTTTTTTTTTTTTGAGACGGAGTCTTGCTCTGTTACCCAGGCTGGAGTGCAATGGCGTGATCTCGGCTCCCTGCAACCTCCGCCTCCCAGGTTCAAGCAATTCTCCTGCCTCAGCCTCCTGAGTAGCTGGGATCATAGGTGCCCGCTACTACACCCAGCTAATTTTTGTATTTTTAGTAGAGACAGGATTTCCCCATGTTGGCCAGGCTGGTCTCAAACTCCTAACCTTGTGATCCACCCACCTCGACCTCCCAAAGTGCTGGGATTACAGGCATGAGCCGCCGTGTCTGGCCAGGAAATTATCTTTGATAATGTGAGTGGGCCTCACCAATCAGTTGAAGGGCCTAACAAGAAAAATAGGTTTTCCTGAGAAAGAAGAAATTCTGCCTGTGGATTGGACTGTAGCCTCAGCCCCAGCCTCAGAGTTTCCAGCTTGCTTTGAAGATTTCAGACTTGTCAGTCCCCCACCCCATCATATAAGGCAATCCCTTAAAATAAATCTCTTTGTATATGTGTGTATCTCCTACTATTTCTGTTGCTCCGGAGAGCCCTGACTAATGCAGGAAAGAAGGTGTCTTTCTTCCATTAACTCCCCATTTGAATCAATTGGAAACACCAGGTTTGGGAATGAAGGAGGAAGGCCTGGCAGACAGGGAGATCTGAGCAGAGAGTATTGAGAGTCTCCTGTCTAGAGGAAACTGTACCCCATATCTAGAGATGGGGGGGCAGTGAAAATGCTCCCTGAAAAATACTCCATCTGCATCATCAGATGAATAAGGACTTCTAGAAGCTCGAGGTTAGTCACTTTTCTTTATTCTTTGGTTTTGGGTTTTCTTTTTTTGTTTTTGTTTTTTTGAGATAGAGTCTGGCTTTGTTGCCAGGCTGGAGTGTGGTGGCACAATCTCAGCTCACTGCAACCTCCGCCCCCTGGATTGAAGTGATTCTCATGCCTCAGCCTCCCGAGTAGCTGGGACTGCAGGTGTGCACCCACCATGTCCACCTAATTTTTGTTTTGTTTTGTTTTTTCAGTAGAGACAGTGTTTCGCCATTTTGGCCAGCCTGGTCTTGAACTCCTAACCTTAGGTGATCTGCCCTCTGCCTCCCAAAGTGCTGGGATTACAGGTGTGAGCCACCACGCCCAGCCTCTTTATTCTTTGTCTCATCTTTGCCATCTCTAGTTTTGAGACAAGGAGCTTCCTTTCAGCCTCCTATAATCTCAACCACCGATCATGAGCTTTTAGTTCAAGGGAAATAACTTGGTTTTGAGAGGAACAAATGATCCTGTTGCACTTTGCTACAGGGTCTTTGACTTGCTTTCTGAAGGTCTTCAGCTCTTTATAACATGCTCATCTTGGCATTTGCTTCAGAACTTTCCTCCACTTGCTCCAAGTAATGACCTTCCCAGACAAATCATTTCTCAAGAGACTGCACTGCTTTGTCTTGGCAAAGTTCAGTCACTTCATTTCCTCTCAGCAGAAGATTTTGATCTGTATTTTCAATTGAGGTTCACTCAGCCTGAAGATTTTTTACCTGATCTGTCTTGGCTTTTCTGTGTTCTTCTTTAGCAATTTGATGTAGAATTGATTTTTCTCTCCATCTGGGATGTTTAAATGTACACTTGACTTTTCAACTTCAATTTCCTCCTGGCTCCTCTTGTCTGGTCATAAATACTGT